CACAAAATTGATTCGCAAAATTCGAGTTTTCATCCGATTGCCATCAAATTTTCAGGGATTGAGAAATAACTATTAAACTTCATTTTACCATTTTACTCGTATTTTATTTACAGTCCATACGCAAATGCCCGCACGGAGACGAACCAGCCCAGGGCTGAAAGTCTCCTTAATAAAGATATAAAAAAAAAAATGCCCGCACCTTGGCCTTAACCCCGGCCATAAGATTCTGCACAACCTGTGAATCAACCGTTTTTTGCATGTAAACCCATACTTTCTTCAGTTCCTCGACTGTCTTCACTACCTTAGGTCGTTTAAGAAGGTGCTGCTTCATAATCGCCCAGTACTTCTCGATGGGGCGGAGCTCCGGAGTGTTGGGAGGGTTGAACATTTTCGGCACGAAATTGACCTTATTGTCCGCATACCACTTCAGCACGTCCTTGGAGTAGTGGCATGAGGCCAAATTCGGCCAGAAGGTTGTTGGGACGTTGTGGGCCTTCAGGAGAGGAAGCAGCCGCTTCTGGAGGCACTCTTTTATGTACACCTGTCCGTTCATCGTGTCCTGGGTCACGAAAGGTGCACTCCGCTTCCCGCACGTGCAGATGGCTTGCCAAACCAGGAATTTCTTCGCAAATTTGGACATCTTCTGAGTGCGGACATGCTCCGGAACGCTGAACTTATCCTTGGCCGTGAAAAACAGGTTGCCGGGGATCTGTTTGAAGTCGGCCTTCACATATACTTCGTCGTCCATGATGCAGCATTCAACTTTCGTCAGCATGTTGAGGTACAACTTCCTGGCACGGGTTTTGGCGGATTTGTTCTGCTTCTCGTCGCGATTAGGGGCCTTTTGTACCTTGAACGTTCGAAGCCCAGCCTTAGTTTTGGCCTTCTGGACAAAACTTTGGCTTAGGTGCAGCTTCTTAGCCACATCCCTAACGGAGGCGTTCGGATTTCGGTTGAAGGCCCCAACTACGCGGTTGTGATTTTTGGTGTTGTACGGAATACTTTTTCCTTCACTTCTGGGCTTCCGATCGGTGGTCAACCGTTCCTCGAACCGCTTAATCACTCGCGACACCGTGGAATTCGCGATTCCCAACGTTTTAGCGATGGAACGATGCGAGAGATCCTTGTTCTCGTGATGAATGCGCAAGATTTTATCACGCACGAGCTGTTCTTTCGACTCCATTTCCGCGAGTTTTGATCACAGGACTTTAAAACTTGCAGGATGTAAATAATGCACTATGAACTAAATCCACCCAAATTTTCATTAAATTCCACCCAACGGTTAAAAGTTAGAGCAATATCATAGTGTGGCAATTTCATCGTGGACACCCTTTAGTGGTAATTTTTATACGATAGATGTAGTAGATAAAAGCATAGAGTTGATAGTTCCGTTAGAGTACGGCAGTGTGAAGATTGCATATAGATATTAGAATAGCGAGCTAGGACAACTTTCGGTTTTTTCATCTCTCTTTACCAAACACTGGCAAAAAGAGATGAAAACCGACCCGCTCAAGTACCAACGGTGTGTTTGAAACAGTTCTACCGATTTTTTACCGCACTTCAGTTGTTATTTGAAGGAAGGCATCCAGTCGTAGGTTTGGAAATTGCAACTATTGTTTACCCATACTACGATATGTGCTCCTGTCATCGTCGACTTGACGATCTCGAGGGGACACGGGTGGGGTAGGTGCTGCTACTGTACCTTTCGACCATCCCATCTCCAAAGGGGGAGTTTGGTAAAGAGAGATGAAAAAAACGATTTGTACCTTCCTTAAAAGTTGTCCTAGCTCGCTATTCTATTATCTATATGCAATATTCACGCTGCCGTACTCTAACGGAACTCTCGATGAACATTTCAAATGGTCCTATCTGCTTTGATCGATTCTCTTCATCGACTTTCTCTTTTCATAACCACTGCTATGCAAACAGATTTCGCGTTAATTCTACCACATAGTTTGATAAAGGAGGTTCTTATCTAGCGTCCAAAACGTCAAATACAACAGGGAAAGGTTTTGCAGCTGAGTTATTGACGAAAGAGAAAGTCGATGAAGAGAATCGATCAAAGCAGATAGGACCATTTGAAATGTTCATCGAGTTACTATCAACTCTATGCTTTCATCTAGTCCATCTATCGTATAAAAATTACCACTACAGTCTGTTATTTTAAATTAGCATCTTCAACTATGTAAATCGTTGACTTCACGTAGAAGTTATACTAAAACATATAGTCAAATGCATTTTATGGTTTTTCAAAATTCATACATTGATTCGATTAAAACTTTTGCCAAAATTATACTAAGTCCGAATAAAGGAGTGGAATTCGATCAGTGTTTACTAACATGATAGGAAAAATAACATCTGGCTTCTCTTCGGAGCTTCGTGTTGGTAAAGAGCTTCGTTCCGGCGGATTTTTACTGCGCCTGTGATCTGCTGGGCAGCTAGACTGCGTGAGCACGAGTTCATCCTAATGTACATCGAAATTGTAAGTATTTTTAAATAATATCATGAAAATAAAAAACCTTCCTGAGACAATTTTAATTTATTTGAAAACAATAATATTTATCATCAATAAAATAAAGAAGCGAAAAATACATTCTCTCGAATAAACCGTATCTATGCATTGTAAGTATATTTCGATTTTATACTATACGGATAGCTTTTTATTCATAAAATGTATAAGTCAACTCATAAGCAGACGCCTTGCAAAAAGTTAATGAAGATCATGTGTCAAATGAAATGTATAAGCACAAACGAAGTGTCAGACGACTAACTGGCGAAGAAATCCATTAAAATAATGTGGTTCACTGTAATAGAATTTTCTTGGAAGCTTGTGCCATCATCCACCAGATGGGTTAGTTTTTTTGTTTTGATTTGAACAAAGTTGATTTTGTGTACAATGATTCTTTGACAGTGTGCAAAGAGTGCGTATCATTTTGTCATTTTTTATGCATTTCAGTTTTGAGTAGAGTGAAAGAGATAGAACCAAAACATTCTAGTACATTTGGTGAAAATGCTAGTTCAATCTAGTAGTAGTGTTGCCATGTGGTACAATCCAGTAGTTGTGGTGTTGCCATGTGGTACACTGAAAAATTGCTATAGCAGGTTAGTCACCAAAGTTTTCGAGCCGCTCCGTCTGTCACTTCGTTTGTGGTGTTAGTGAATATCCGAGGAAAATACATAACAAATCGATGTCAAACTCATTTTGACAGATCTACTTTCATACATTTTTTAGGTTAGCCAGAGGAAAATAATAAACAACTTTACACGGCGTTGATCCCGCTAGTGTGCGTGCGTTAAACGTCACTAATCTCTATACTAAGTTTGCATTCTCTCCCTTTATATAGCGACCATTGCGTCGGCACGGAGAGTTGCGATTTAGCGTAACTTTTATATTGCTGATTGCATCTGAAACTGGACTGTCCCAAAAATGCAAAAAGTGTGATAAGTGCACGTTTCCGTCAAATCGTTTTGATGTCTTCGGAGCACTTATTGCCTCGCTTATTGCTATATATTAATTATATGATTTGAGTAGTAGCTATACTGAAGATCCGAGAGATGTCGCCCCTTCAGTGGTAGGAAAATCATTTTTGCAGTATGGAGAATATCAGAAAATCCACGATTTGTGTCTAAACATGCTTTCACAGAAGGAAACAAATAAACGAGTGTTTACCTTATCACCATAGTAACATAGAGGTAACTCTAAGACTACTGGGTCCCGAAGAAAATCATTATTATTTTTGGCTCACTCAGTACCAGAACAACGGTCCCAAGCAGTCCCAAGCTATTTCACTCACCCCTGCATGTTCTGCATGAATCCACACAGCCCTGATGTTATCTGTCAAACTTTCATAGCGAATCAAAACAAACATAGTGTAGTAATAAAATTTCAACTAGAATAGGGTACGTTAATCGTTTGCTTGGGACCAATAGGCTACTAAAGTGGTGAGCCAATTTAAAATCGTTAGTTTCGTATTGATTGTTGATAGTAATGTACTCGTGCAATTTTTGTGCATCTAAAACTGCCCATAAAGACGATAATGAATAAAAACTGAAAATTTTCATGCATTTCTAAATGGTTTCCTACCATTCCCATACATTCGAAGGGACTGGCCCTCTGGATGTGGCTGATGTCAAAAACAACAAAACATGATTAATTCTCGATGAACATTTCAAATGGTCCTATCTGCTTTGATCGATTCTCTTCATCGACTTTCTCTTTCATCAATAACTCAGCTGCAAAACCTTTCCCAGTTGTATTTGACGTTTTGGACGCTAGATAAGAACCTCCTTTATCAAACTATGTGGTAGAATTAACGCGAAATCTGTTTGCATAGCAGTGGTTATGAAAGGAGAAAGTCGATGAAGAGAATCGATCAAAGCAGATAGGACCATTTGAAATGTTCATCGAGATATGACTTGAGTCATGCATAGACGAGTGCACGGATGGATTTAAGTTCACTCATTCGACAAAAAGTGACACAACAGCGGGGCCCTGTTTACTAAAAATGAACACATGTGTTCATTTTTAGTAAACAGGACCCCGCTATTGTGTCACTTTTTGTCGAGTGAGTGAACTTAAATCCATCCGTGCACTCGTCTATTGACGAGTGCACGGATGGATTTGAGTTCACTCACTCCACAAAAAGTGACACAACAGCGGGGCCCTGTTTACTGAAAATGAACACATATGTGTTCATTTTTAGTAAACAGGGCCCCGCTGTTGTGTCACTTTTTGTCGAGTGAGTGAACTCAAATCCATCCGTGCACTCGTCAATGGATGCATGTCGATGTTGTTCATTTGCCAACTTGTCACTCTCAACACTGTTTACCCATTTTTGGGTAGGTTCAGTTTTGACCGATCTGGGTGGATTGTACCCAAATTTGGGTTAGTATTGAAAAGGCGTGTACACTGGTTCATTCTTTCTCTCCACACAGATTTTCAAACTTTGTGTAGAGTTCAGAAACGTTTGTCAGACAGAAATCAAAACAACGGATACTTCGCAGTTTGTGCAGTTTATCCCGATCCAGTGAAGATAATCTTTTAAGTGAATTTAAAATAATTAGTAATGCATTAGTGGTGCAGGTTGGAATTATAGTTTCTTTCAACAAACGAGTGCATTTGAAAACAGTATCATCAGAATGACGGACGAAGAATCCACGTTCAAAAAGCCGTCGATCGATTTGAAGCTGCTCAGCAAAAGTCGCAAAGGGGAACTTCCGGCCTCTGCTTGCACTGCGAATGTGCAGGTTCCTTCCTCTTCGGAGGACCCACCGGTTCAGGACAAGGAACAACAGTTAGCGAGCGATCCAAACGAAATTCCACCCATTCCCTACAAAGAACCAGCATGGTCGCGGAAGTGTGACAGCTCCTTGAACTACAGCTTTGAGGTGCTAAAGAATGGTGTAATTATTGAACATGTTCAGCAACTGCAGAACAAAGCGCATTGGTTGTTTGGTCGGTTGCCGAATTGTGACATTAATATGGCTCATCCCACCATATCCCGGTACCATGCCATTCTACAATACAAGAGTGTTGTAGGGGAAACGAAGGATAACTCCGATGGCGAGGAAGAGAAGGGAGACAAACGGCAACATGTTACGATCGAGCCGGGATGGTATTTGTATGATCTCAATAGCACACATGGAACGTTCCTGAATAAACAACGTTTGAAGCCGAGGACCTACGTTAGGGTGATGGTTGGGTACATGATAAAGCTGGGGTCGAGCTCGCGAACGTATATTCTGCAAGGACCACCAGAGGACGAAGATGAAGCGTCTGCAATGACCATCACAGAGATGAAGGAAACACGACAGAAGCAGGAAAAACTCCGTGCGGAAATGGCAGAGATCGAACGGCAGGAGAAGGAACGCATCGACAAGTTGAAGGAAGAAGAAGGTGTCAATTGGGGAATGGCTGAGGATGCCGATGAGGAAACTGATCTCGCTCACAATCCATTTGCTGTAACAAACAATGAGGAACTATTTTTGGATGATCCAAAGAAGACGTTGCGCGGGTACTTCGAAAGGGAAGGTCACGATTTGGATTACAAGCTGGAGGAACTATCGGTTGGGAACTATGTCTGCAAGGTGGAACTCCCGGTAGACGATGACTTCGGGCGACCAGTTGTGGCAGAGGTAACCCACAAGGGGAAAAAGAAGGAAGTAGTTGTGCAATGTGCACTGGAGGCCTGCCGCATATTGGATCGGTATGGATTGCTCCGCCAGGCGACCCATGGTAAGCGCAAAACACAATCCTAGTTTTTTTAGGCTTTTTTTTTTTTCTAAATATTTGTTCTCGTCTACAGAGCCTCGACGTCGACACAAGAAGACATCCGATTCCGACGACGATGACGATTTCCTAGACCGTACTGGAGACGTTGAACGACGTCGCCAGAGAAAGCAAGCCAAGCAATCTCCAGAAGTACACACGTATGAACATCTGATCAGACGTGAGGCAGATCTCCTAGAGCGTCTCGAAGAAATTGAAGGCAAAATTCAACAACGGCAAATGATCGAAAAAGGAACTTGTTTGCCGGAAAACGACGACGATGTCGATGATTTTCTGACAAAGTTGTCGGAAGATAAACCGTACGATAAGTTTGAAGTCCGTCGGCTTCGATCAGAAAAGGATAGGCTTCTGAAGGAACATGAAATGCTTCAGAAGCTCATTAAGATAGCAAAACCGTATGATCTCCCAACTATGAGTCAGGATCCATCAGGTTCTACAAGTAGCAAGGAGCAATTTAAGAAAAAGATGATGCCTCTATTTGGCAAACGTAACAAACTGAGTAAGACGTTCGGAATCAAAAAATCCGTAGTTAAAGTCGGTGGCTTTACAAGTTCCCATGGTGAGGAAGTCGAAGAAGACGAGGATGAAGGTGAAGAGAAGAAAGAAGAGCCCAAGGAGGAACGGAAACTAGTGCAACCCGAGGCGCCAAAGGTGCCCAAAAAAGTGCAAGGTCCATCCTTCAATCCAGAACTGCTTGAACAGCATCTAAAAAAAGCGGAGACCGTTCAGAAGCCTGCAGAAGACAGTCTGATCGTAACAACCGAAACCGTACCTAAGGAAGAGGTTGCAGATGCTACTCCGGGACGAGAAGATAGCGACAAGAAGCGTAAAAGTGAAACGGAATGTGAGGATCCTGCAACTTCGTCGTCGTCTGGTAAGAAGAAACGCAATCGAAACCGCGGCAGGGAACGGAATCGAGATAACGTCGACTTCGATGATGCTGACGAATTGCAGAGCGAAGAGAAGAATATCGAGTGGGTTCCACCGCAGAACCAAACCGGAGACGGTAGGACCTCGCTAAACGAAAAGTTCGGCTATTAGAGAGAGGAACGCGGATGTGAGGGGAAAGTTGGTTGGCATTCAGCAGCGAATGGGTACGTACAATAAATAACCTTCAATCTGAATTATCTGGAAACGCTATTTCGATGACTGCCTAATTCGCGTGGAGCCGCACTTGGAGCTGGGGTAAAAAGGTTCTACCTGCAGGGTATCGTAGACTAAATTATTTACAATTATACTTATATTTACGATTAGGTAGCCTTACTTGTCTTTGAATCAAGCTTGCAAATGCTCATTACAGCTAAAATGCTATTTTTCGGATTTATGAAGCTATGAGATATTTTAATGATTATTATTATTTACAAGATGCAAGAACAGAAGGTAAAGTATGTGTATGACACATAAAACATGTCAATTTAGCTTTCAGAGGGTCATAATAGCGATTAGCTGTAACGATGAGCAACGCGATGAGCGAGCAATCAGCGATCATAAAATCGCTAGTTGTGACCTTCTGAAAGCAAAATTGACAAATTTTATATGTCATATACAAACTTTACTACCTCTTCTTGCATCTTACAAATAAAAATTATCATTATAGTATCCCATTGTTTCATAATACCGAAAAATAGCATTTTAGCTGTAATGAGCAATTGCAAGCCTGCTTTGAATAATAATAATGTTTCCTCTACCAGCTAGCATTGTTATTTTGGAGAGGTAAGATTTCATTCGCGAGAAATTGACGGCTAAAGTCATTGTTTACAAAAGCAATTACGCCCTTTGAAATGTTGGCACTGAATTGTTTTCTAGTAGAATTTATAGGTTTTATTAAAATTGAATTAGCTCTATAAGTATCTTTGCCAACGTCCGTACTATTCGATGTCTGATAGAAGCCCCCAAAAGATATCCCGGTAAAAATACAGTCACTGTGAGGCAAACGGATCCATTGTTCCCGAGTGGATGAAACAGAAGCCGTGCAGGCCGTGTCAACGGGAAGGATGGGACTTGTCCTATGAAGATCAAATTAGTATAGTAACACAATGGAAGCTATAAACGGTTGCTTGTCGATACACTGTCGGGTCGGTTCAAAATACATTGCAACGAAGATGACTGTCCCACAATGCGCTGATTCATCCGGTTACAACTGTGGTCGCCATAAACGCGCACATTAAGACCAGCAGCACGATGATGTTCCGGATGATTCCAGTGTGATTAATTGCGGAGAAATATCGCAATTCAAGCTGAACATTGCATTAGGTTCTAAGTAACATTGATCGATTCTTTTCATCGACTTTCTCTTTCGTTTATAACTTGAGCACATAACCGTTTCTTGATCTGGTTGACGTATTAGATGCTACTTAAAAGCTTCTTTTATCGATCTGTGAGCTGAAAATAAGTGGGAATGTCTTTACATGGCCGTGGGGATGCAAAGAGAAAGTCGACGAAGAGAATCTGTCAATGTTACTTAGGACCTAATGCAATGTTCAGCTTGAATTGTCGGAGCCTCCATAACATAAATTGAAAACGAATTGGAAGATCGTCTGGGACTTGTTGGAGTGAAAGAAAAGCAGGTAGGCCCTTCGTGAAGATGTCTGCCAGTTAGTCTCCAGTAGGAATGTACTTGAGGGGGTTAGAAGGAAAGGGGTGTAAGTGACTGATCGATTCTCTTCATCGATTTTCTCTTTTGATAGCCACAGCTTTATAAACAGATTTTGCATTTTTTTGCCACATCGTTTGATAAAGGAGGTTTTCATCCAGCATGCAGAATGGCACACGAATCAAGGAATGTGTTTGCAGCTGAATTATTATCAACTAAATAGAGAGTCGATGAAGAGAATCGATCAGTCACTTACATCCCTTCCTTCTAACCCCCCTCACTTCAATCTGATGACATCGTTCTGTATACATTCCCTGATGAAGTTGTACCGAATATCTAGAAGCTTCATCCGTTTCTGGTCCCGGTTTGCTTGTGAAATGCAGATCGGCGAAGAGCAGCAACACGGAACCTGTCACGTCACGTCAGTTAAGGGACTGAACTTGCTCGATCTGGACTTCATGAACGCTTTCGATGTTTGGGCGAAGCCGTTGACCACCATCTGCAACCAGGTAAATTGTTCCAATTCATTCGATTCAGCCAACTGGTACTTCACCCGTTTTCCCGAAGTTTTCAGTGATTCCCTCGGACATTGCACGAAAACGAAGGTGAAACTCTACCTGAAACCCGAAGCGCAACCGGTCTTCAGGCCGAAACGACCGGTACCATTCCATGCAGTGCCCAAAGTTGACGAAGAATTAGACAGATTGCAACGGCTAAACATCATCCAGCCTGTGGATTTTTCTGACTGGGCTGCCTCAATTGTCTCGGTTAGGAAAAATTCGAGTCTGCGCCGACTACTCTACAGGGTTGAAAGTGGTACTCGAACCACATCACTTTCCGCTACCAACACCCGAAGACATTTTCTCCAAGCTGTCGGGAAGCAAAGTGTTCAGCATTATTGATTTATCAGATGCCTATCTCCAAGTCGAGGTTGCGATGACTTAAAACGGATGCTAGCCATCAACACCCACCGTGGGCTATTTCAATTCAACCGCCTGCCGCCTGGTGTGAAATCGACATCTGGAGCCTTCCAGCAGCAGCAAGAACAGAGAAGAACATGATCGTATATTGGAGACGCTATTTACTCGCATCCAAGAGTATGGATTCCGTCCACGACCGGAAAAGTGCAACTTCTACAAAGAAGAAATCCGGTACCTAGGTTTCCTCATCAATGCCAACGGTATAAAACCGGATCCTGAAAAGGTAGCTTCAATAGCCAAAATGCCGGAACCGAAAGACGTCAGCGAACTCCGTTCTTTTCTCGGAGCGGCAAATTTCTACTGAAAGTTCGTCCGAGAAATCCACCGGATCCGGCACCCGCTAGATGATCTTCTCAAAAAGGACAGGAAGTTTGTATGGAGTGACCAGTGTCAGAAAGCTTTCGACAGCATCAAAAATGTGTTGCAATCAGACTTGTTGCTTACGCATTATAACCCAAACATCGAGCTAATCGTAGCGGGTGATGCTTCGAAGACCGGTATAGGTGCCATCATTATGCATCGTTTTCCGGATGGGCAGATCAAAGCGATAGCAAACGCCTCGAAAACATTGACCAGCACCGAACAGAACTACAGCCAGGCAGGCTTGCAATTGCTCATTACAGCTAAAATGCTATTTTTTGTAATTATGAAACAATGAGATACTATAATGATAATTTTTATTTGTAAGATGCAAGAAGAGGTGGTAAAGTTTGTGTATGACACATAAAATTTGTCAATTTTGCTTTTAGAAGGTCACAACTAGTGATTTTATGATCGCTGATTGCTCGCTCATCGCATTGCTCATCGTTACAGCTAATCGCTAGTTGTGACCTACTGAAAGCAAAATTGACAAATTTTATGTGTCATACACAAACTTTACCACCTCTTCTTGCATCTTACAAATAAAAATTATCATTATAGTATCTCATTGTTTCATAATTACGAAAAATAGCATTTTAGCTGTAATGAGCAATTGCAAGCCTGCAGCCAGGTATAAAAATAAGCGTTGGCGCTGCTTTTTGCAGTAACGAAATTTCGTCGAATGCTGCTGGGACGAAAATTCACGCTACAGACAGATCATCAACCTTTACTCAAAGTTTTCGGATCGAAAAAAGGTATTCCACTACACACTGCAAATCGTCTTCAACGGTGGGCATTATTACTGATTGGATTTGACTTCAACGTGGTATACATGACAATGGAAGACTTTGGATATGCGGATGTACTCTCTCGGCTAATAAGCAACCATCAAAAACCCGAGGAAGAGTACGTTGTTGCCACCGTTAGTCTGGAAGAAGAAGTAAACGCAAGCCTGGAGGAATGTCTTACATCGCTGCCTGTGAACTTCAAGATGGTCAGGACAGCAACAAAGAAGGACGGCCTACTGCAACAAGTCATACAATACATTGACGGATGTTATCCGAACAGCAGCATTATCGCAGATCAAAACCTGAAAGCCTTCCATACTCGACGCGAGTCTTTGTCAGTAGTCAATAGACGCATCATGATGAACGACCGTGTAGTGATACCAGAATGTTACAAGCAACGCATTCTAAAGCAGCTTAATCGTGGTCACCAAGGCATGGAAAGGATGAAAGCCATCGCTCGCAGTGCAGTGTACGTCGATAATGATATTGAGGATCTGGTTCGTCGGTGTTGCATTTGTGCCAGCACAGCAAAATCTCCGGTACATTATCAACCTCAACCGTGGCCAAGAGCAGACGGTCCATGGAAGAGAATCCGTCTAGACTACGCAGGGCCATTTGACGGAATGAACTACTTAGTCATAGTGGACTCATATTCGAAATGGCCAGAAATTTTTCAAACACGCTTGACGACAGCAGCTGTCACGATCAGATTTCTTCAGGAAACTTTTGCCAGATTCGGTATTCCGGAGACCATTGTCACAGACAACGGAACACAGTTCTGTAGTGCTGAATTCAAGAAGATGTGTCAGCAGCTCGGAATTATCCACATTCGTACAGCGCCATATCACCCTCAGTCAAATGGCCAGGCAGAACGCTTTGTCGATATCCTAAAACGCTCATTGCACAAAATTGTTGAGGGGGAAGAAGTTCCATCAGTCGAAGCGCTCCAAACTTTTCTACAAATGTATCGTTGTACGCCCAGTGCAACACTTGCTGGGAGGTCACCTTCAGAGGAATTGCTGGGCAGGCCGATGCGTACACCATTGGATCTCTTACGACCATCAGCGTTCTCCAGTAAGTCCGATCAACAAAGTCCGAAGTCTACATCGGGTTCAACAGTCTACGCGAAGCTGTATCAGAATACGAACAAGTGGAAATGGGCTTCCGGTACTGTTCTTGAAGTCATCGGCGGAGTCAACTTCAACGTTCTGCTCGACTACCAGTCAGGTCGGAGGAAGCTTATTCGATCACACGTGAACCAGTTTCGACCTAGATGCGATGATACTTTCAAGCCATTATCAGCACCAACTCAGTTCGACATCCTAGTGGATGACTTCGAACTTAAGCAGCATTCTTCAGCACAGCAGACCGCTATACAACAGAATATGAGATCGACTGAACCGGAACAAGTTAACATTAGCCAGCATCAGGATGACAGTTCAGACGACGACGAATTCTTCGAGACTGGTTCATCGATCTCCAATCAACCACCAGTTTCGCCATCAACATCGAAGTCTCCCATACCAGCCAGAAACTGTACGATTACTAAAAATAAAGAGTTCTGATTATTTTGATGATTAACATGCAAAGTAGTAGTTAAAGTTATTGAAAACATAGCAATGATAAATGGAAAAATGCAAAAGTTGTTCCAATTTTGAAGCCGGATAAAAATCCAGCTGAAGCTTCTAGCTACCGTCCAATAAGTTTGCTTTCTTCAATAAGTGAACTTTTTGAAAACATAATTTTAAATAGAATGATGCTTCACATCAATACGAACTCATTTTTTGCAGATGAGCAGTTTGGATTTCGCAATGGGCATTCAACTACTCATCAACTCTTAAGAGTTACCAATTTAATTCGTTCAAACAAATCTGAAGGCCACTCAACTGGAGTTGCTCTTCCAGACATAGAAAAAGCATTCGACAGTGTTTGGCATGAAGGTTTGATTGCTAAATTGAAAAAGTTTAATTTTCCACTTTACATTATGAAATTAGTTCAAAATTATTTAACTGACAGAACTCTGCAGGTAAATTATCAAAATTCCAAATCTAATCGACTACCTATTAGAGCAGGAGTTCCTAAGGGTAGCATTCTAGGGCCTATATTGTATAACATTTTCACTTCGGATCTCCCTGATTTGCCTCAGGGTTGCCACAAATCTTTGTTCGCTGATGACACAGGTATTTCCACTAAAGGAAGAAGTCTCCGTGTTATTTGCAGCAGACTGCAGAAAAGTTTAGATATTTTTTCTTCTTATTTACAAAAATGGAAGATTTCTCCCAACGCTTCCAAAACTCAACTTATAATATTTCCACATAAGCCTAGAGCTTCCTTTTTTAAACCTAGTAGTAGTCACATAGTGATTATGAACGGAGTTCCAATTTCCTGGTCAAACCAAGTGAAATATCTTGGATTAATACTTGACCAAAAATTAACTTTTAAAGATCACATTGACCCATTCGAAAACCCGGTAAACCCGCGTCGGATCATAACTCGTACCGTCCCATCGCGATGCTGTCCTGCATACGGAAATTGTTGGAGAAAATGATTCTTTTTCGTCTAGACAAATGGGTCGAGTCGAATGGTTTACTTTCAGATACGCAATTTGGATTTCGGAGAGGCAAGGGAACGAGCGACTGTCTTGCGTTGCTTTCAACTGAAATTCAACTGGCCTATGCGCAAAAACAGCAAATGGGTTCAGTTTTCTTGGACATTAAGGGGGCTTTTGATTCTGTTTGTATCGATGTCCTTTCGGATAAACTCCACGATAGTGGGCTTTCACCAATTATGAACAACTATTTGAGCAACTTGTTGTCTGAGAAATATATGAGCTTTTCTCATGGAAACTCGACAACTTCACGAATTAGTTACATGGGTCTCTCCCAGGGCTCATGTTTAAGCCCCCTTCTTTATAATTTTTACGTTAAAGACATTGATGGTTGTCTTGATGAAAATTGCTCGCTAAGGCAGCTTGCAGATGACGGCGTTGTGTCCGTTATAGGGCCAAGTGCACCGGACCTGCAAGGACCATTGCAAGATACCTTAGACAATTTGTCTACTTGGGCTATGAAGCTGGGTATCGAATTCTCTCCGGAGAAAACTGAGTTGGTTGTTTTTTCTAGGAAGCATCATCCTGCACAGTTACAGCTTCAACTAAAGGGTAGAACAATCACTCAAAGTATATCTTTCAAGTATTTAGGTGTCTGGTTCGATTCCAAATGCACATGGGGAAAACATATTGCGTATCTAAAACAAAAATGCCAACAAAGAATCAATTTTCTTCGTGCAATTACCGGAACTTGGTGGGGAGCACACCCGGAAGATCTTATCAGGTTGTATCGAACAACCATCCTGTCGGTTCTAGAGTACGGTAGCTTCTGCTTTCAATCCGCGGCGAAAACACATATCTTGAAGCTGCAACGAGTTCAATACCGTTGCCTCCGAATCGCGCTTGGCTGTCTGCACTCGACGCATACGATGAGCCTCGAAGTACTCGCGGGTGTTCTCCCACTGACAGATCGTTTCGCTGAGCTGTCTTTCCGGTTCCTCATCCGTTGTGAAGTATTGAATCCTTTGGTAATAGAACACTTTGAGAAGCTGCTCGACCAAAATCCTCAAACAAGATTCATGAGTTTGTACTATGAGTACATGACGCTGGAGGTTGGTTCTTCTTCATTAATCTCCAATCGTTATTGCTTTCAAGCCTTCTATAGTTCCTCTGTAAATTTTGATCTGACCATGATGCAAGAAATCCATGGAATACCAGATCACCATCGGTCGATGGTTGTTCCCTCAATTTTTGCAATCAAGTACCACCATGTAAGTAACGATAAAAGATTTTTCACAGATGGGTCAACCATAAATGCTTCCACTGGATTTGGTGTATTTAATCAATTTCATAGCGCCTCCTATAAACTGCAGAAACCATGCTCCGTATACGTTGCGGAACTCGCAGCTATATTCTACGCAGTAGAGCGAATTGCCTCACTACCTTCTGACCATTATTTCATTTTTACAGATAGTCTTAGCTCATTGGAGGCTATTCGTTCAATGAGGCCGATGAAGCACTCCTCGTATTTCCTGCCTGAAATACGAACTAAACTGAGTGCTTTATCTAACTGCTCCTATACTATCACCTTAGCTTGGGTCCCATCTCATTGCTCAATTCCGGGTAATGAGAAAGCGGACTCATTGGCTAAGGTGGGCGCCACTGCTCGCCAGCAAGTCCTCATCACTTGGCAACAAAAATTGAATGATGGTGAATTGGGAAGATGGTTACATTCTATTCTCCCACAGGTGTCGAACAAACCATGGTTCAAAGGGTTGGACATGAGCCGCGACTTTATACGCGTTATATCAAGGCTTATGTCCAATCACTGCTCGTTAGACTCACACTTCTATCGAATTGGGCTCTCAGGCAGCAATTTATGTGCGTGTGGCAGTGGTTATCACGATATCATCGGTGTACCCCCATGTTTGTCTTTTTCATCAGAGTGTCGCTTAGTTCGAGATCAAGAGCACATTGCTCTCCAAACCTTGTGTTCACAATCCCTACCCTGCCATCCATTTGTTACAATTTGTCACCCCTAATCTCGAGATAGCCGCGAGTAATCGGCCCCGCTTTACTAACGTTAGTTTTAAGTAATTTTGTAATCTAATCAATGAATATTGGCTCCGCAAAGCTATAGCAAATGAGCCTGGAAAAATAAACGCATTATAAAAAAAATAAAGAGTTAAAAAAAATGTGTATTTTATTTTGGAATGTCCTGATGTCTTCCTTGTTCTTTATTTCCAAAAAGAGCTTCATGTCGTCGGCATAAATTAAAACTTACCCCCCCCCCCCCTCTCCCCCCTATAGTCACGTTTTTCCTATACCTAATGAATTGCTTGTCACAAAATATTAGACCCCACCTAGAGCGTGACATAATATATGCATCAACCCATAGTATAAACAAAAGGGGGCCTAGATGGAACTGCGAGACAAATTCGAATAAATGTGTACTAGTTGAACGACCTTTGAAGAAACCCTTTTGCATGTTAGTGATTCTGTTTTTGATTAATAATAATAATATTTTTTCATTAACGATTGCTTCAAAAATCCTTGGAATGCAAGAGATAATGGCAATCCCACGGTAATTACGTATGTCAGATTTCCGCCGTTAAAATGCGCCAGTGTTTCTACGAGCAGTCTTGTAAGCGGTCACGGTAGTCGACACATTTTCTGTGATAATTGACTGCCTTTGCCTCCGACACTTGCAAAGCAAGCTATCATAGTACAGTACCAAACTAAAACGTCGTATGACAGGCTCTGTCATACGACACTGTCGCCGAAGACCGTCACGAATGTATGTATTTTAGTTTTTCTCATAATAAGAGCTGCTGATGGTGTGCTTGTGTGAATTCTGAAAATAGCAAGCAATGATGTCCTAGCAATAATATTTCTGATCAGAAATGGTTTGATTTAAACCAAATTGAGGAATTACAACGAAATCACACATGTCATATGATAGCTATTTTGATAATTTTCTTTTAGCTCGAATGTTATTCTACCGCTCGTGTTGTGTGAGAGAGACGACGGTAGAGCATGAGTGTTCAAATACAAACAGACTGTCACGCACGACAACGAAGCGAGTGTAGTAAAAAACGTCAACTGTTTCAACCCCTGTCTACGAGAGTCCATTGCTCTACAAGAATACTAGATTTAACCATAGTAGTCGACGATATCCGCCGTCACACTTCAGTCACTTTGTAACCCTATCAGAAGCACCTCATTGCAAGGACAAAATTACGATGAAACTTCCATGCCATACAAATCCCAACGCAGAGGTAAATTGGTCTTGAACCATATTTTGAATTCATTATTAAAGACCATTGTAAAATATGTTCCAGAATGACTGCGTCCTTGCCGCTTGGAAGCTGTGCGATCGCATCCGGCATGCACTGGACGCAAATCAAGCCTTCCAGCTGAGAAAGTCGTTTCAAGGCCACGATCTATGCTCCACCGGTTACGTTCCAGGTTGCCAGTTTGCCAACATTCTTAGCTGTGCCCTGAAAGGATGTCTCAGCGATAACGACATTTGTCGGCTGGCAGACTACTTCAAAACTCCGGATATGGCAGGAGTGGCTTACGGACAGTTTTTAGACGTTGTAACAGGAGAAGATGACGGATTCACTGCTGCAGGAAGGTCGAAGCAGGTCCTTTCAAGCCACGAACACCGTCGATTATCTTTACTGCTGATGGAAATTGCTCAAGCTTTGCGTTTTCGCGAACAGGTTCTGAGGCCTTACTTCGAAGACTATGATCTGATTGCTCGGAAGGGGGGATCAGTAACGATTGCTTACTTCAAGCGTGTTTTGTACTTCTTGGGAATTGCCCTGCGACAATCGGAGTGCGAGCTTCTAACTAAGCGCTTTGGGTTTGACAATTATAAATTGGACTATGAAGCGTTTGTCGAAGAGATTGACCAACTTTTGCGATATCTGGATGCGCAAGGTCCTATTGATCGTCAATGTAATGAAGAAGTTCCATCGAAGGTTATTGCCGTGGAGCTTCCGAAGGTTGTAAGGCCAGAAGTCGGTAAAGTGAGGTTGGAGGACGTTTTGCAGAAAAATACAGCTTATCACTCTTGCTTGGAACCTTCGCGAGAGGAGAGGAACTTCCGTATGTTGATGCTACGCATCCAGGGTCACATTTGGGAGAACCGTGTCCGAATTCGCGAATTCTTCGAACAATACGACCTGCATGGTTGGGGTTGGATAAGCCGAAGTCAGTTCATCCGATCGATGGATGCGGTTGGGTTATCCGGCTTACATCGGCTACCGTTAACGGCTAATGAGGTTAGAACCATCTGTCATCGGTATCAGCATCCTACGAACGGGAACCGGATCCGCTGGGACCGTTTCACAGATGATATCGACGAGGTGTTCACCATTAAGAACTTGGACAAGGGACCATACCGAGAGGTTGCATCTCCACCAGAAGAGGTTCAAAATTTGCAACGAGAAAGTAGGATGGATTCATCGCATCAAGAGCTAGCGCAGGATGTTGTCAACTGTATTCGTACATTGGTTGAGTCTAGACGAGTTTTGATAAGACCTGTGTTCAATGATTTCGATCCACACCGCAACCGGCACGTGTCTCGCAGTCAGGTTGGCGAAGCACTTTCAATGGCAGGTATTTTTATAACCGAAGATCAGCGATACGCATTGGAGCAGCGCTACTCTGACGACTTGGGTTTCAACTATGTGGAATTTCTCGGTGATGTTGATCCTATGCCCAAAGCTACTTCGGCTGTAAGTTTCAGGTAAATGCATACATATTCGAGAAGAACTTGACAGTTTATTCGTTATTGCAGTATGAAGACCTGCAGAGCCGGTTGGCTGCACAGAATGCGCAGAGCCTCCATAAACCAGATGAGTTCGAGCATGACATTGTCCGAGTTCTGGCCAAGGTCAAGGGTCAAGTAGTACGTAGAAAGCTGCGTACCATAGACTACATGCGTGGCTTCGATCCGCTCAACCATTTCCGCATCACAAAGGACCAATTCGAACGTGGATTATCCACAGCAAGGATCGATCTTACACCAACGGAAGTTTGCACTCTCGCGAACATGTTCAAAACGCCGCTGCAGGATACGATCAACTACAAGCGACTATGCGACACGATTGCTGAAGTTGACTATCAGCGTAATCTTGAGAAAGCACCCCTTTTGGTTCCGCTACAGCATTTCCCCTCGGAAGATGGTCCACATAACCACCTGAACTTTGAGGAGCGAACCATCGTATCCCGGACACTTCAAAAGCTTACACGATATGCTGACGTAGTGTCCAACTTGAGCTCACTGCTGCAGGATTTTGACCGTAACCAGTTGGGACTGGTCAATCATAATCAGCTTATACGGGCATTGGCCACACGTGATCTACATACCACTATCTCGAGTCGTGAATTTGAAGTACTTTGCAAGTGTTTCTGCGTAGAAAAAGGTACATCGGTCTCTTCATTCATAATGTTCAAGTGATTCACCATTTTTAACCTATTTTCTACTTGATGTTAGGTTACAGACAAGAAATAAATTACCGCGCACTCCTAACGGCGTTGGATTACCTTTATGCCAATAGAGAAAATCACCCTTTCTGAAGTGTCAAGCGTGGGTACGATAGTGATCTGAAGTGTGTAAACATGTTCTACAAATTCAATTACTATAAATTGTTGAGGTGCGTAATAAAATCGATCAGTGCATAAACGAACAACGCTCACGGAGAAAATCGAGGCTCAACTCATTCAGAATTAAACAGATTATGGCAGTTTTAAAAGTCGGTTTTTTATTTGCAAGCCTGTTCGTGTTGATTCAAGCACAAGCAAATTGTGAACTGGAACAATGTCCGGTTTACGGTGAAACGGAGATTGAACACGTGTTGACGCTACTTCCGGTACCGTGGAATTGTAGCGAGTACGTCATGTGTAGCAGAGGAGTGCAGCATATTAGGTGAGGATTAAATTAAATGAACTTGTTCTCTTTTGTTTTCCAATGATACTTCCTTCGTTTCACAGGCCTTGCCCGCCGGGATTGCACTTTATACCCAGTTTGCACGTCTGTGAGTTCCCGGATCGCGCTACCTGTATTGAGACTTGCTCCAGTTCTACCGTTGATTTGGGCGATAAATAGAGTGAATTCGGATAGCGAAACGAGTTTTGTGCTTAATTTTGAAGTGGTTCTTTATCTGTAACTTGATAAGTAGGGGAAATGGTCTTGAAATAAAAACACACGATGTGTACTGTTACGCAGTCAATCAACTAATAAAAATGTATTTCCTGTTCCTGTTACAAAACGCTCTCGTTTCACTTTCGATTTTATCCTCGACGGTTGTCACACTGCGTGTTGCCAGTTTCAGCATAAGGTGTACGCCATCACTCCTTCTCAACGACCCATTCGCATGCCAATCCGTTCACGTAATATCTCCAGCTTGACCCGTGCCAACGGCTTAGTCAGCGCGTCCGCTAACATGTCTTCTGATGGACAGTAGACGACGTCAATTTTCTTCTGCTCAGCCATGTCACGAACGAAGTGGCATCTGGTGTCCACGTGCTTGGACCGTTTAGTTCCTCCGTCTTGCTTCAGTAGTTTAATGCAGCTCTGATTTTCCTCGTGAATTTTTTAATGGCTGTCCTTCATGAGTTTTAATATCAACTGTAACTCTTGCAAACTCTCGGATAGCGATATGTATTCCGCTTCTGTTGACGAAAGCACCACACAAGCTTGTTCCGCTACCAGGTCGAAACATGTTACCAGAGTTAGACTTCGGGTGGGTAATGTTTCCGGCCCAATCAGCATCCGCATAGCCTTCAAGATCTCCTTCTCCGCCAACGTACAGTTTCAAATCACAAGTACCTACCAGGTAACGAAGCACACGTTTTGCCTCTACCCAATCGCCAGCGGTGGGTTGGCTCACCTTCCTTCCCAGAATAGACGTGCTAATAGCAATGTCTGGTCGTGTATGCACCGCTGCCGTTTTAGTTTGAAGCGAATCCTCTCCCGGGTTGCAGCCTAAGAGCTGTCAAACCGATAGTTTGAACGCCAGCTACCTACCTATGTTTGCCACCAAGCAACCTGGAAAACGACTAGGTTCAAACCCGATTTTTTTTCAAGGTTCATCAGTTTCACGCATACATTCAAGATTTTCTATTTCAAGTCACACATACCCATGTACACAACATTTCAGTTCACCCAGTTCACCGCGCGAGTGATAGTTTGAAGAAACTAACCCAGTTTCGAACCTGGTTCACCAAACTAAAACGGCATAAGTAAAGCAAACCCCCAATAAGACTTTGAAATTTGTCATTGGTTGGTAGTCTATCGCTCTCCTTTTGCTGCATGAAACCTGTGTCCATCGGGATCTTTGACGGCTTAGCATCCTGCATACCGAAACGATCCGCCAATTTCCGAATGTACGCCTTCTGACTGAGGCAATACTGATCGTTCTTCTTCTCTACCTGTATTCCAACGAACTGTTGAACATCTCCAAGTTGGGTTAGGTCGAATTCGGCTCCCAAGCGCCTGAAAATCTCATCGTACTCCTGCTGACTTGAACAAGAGACCCAACATGCACTCATCCGGAACACCACGTCAGCGAAAAGTGCGTAAGAGAATTTGCAGAAACATCACGAAAAAGTGACGCTGTCAGCAAAAGTAGGCATTTTCTATCGGCTGTGTGATATGCGCTACACTGACGGGGAAACACATTGAGCAGCATCTGTACAATATGGAGCAGTTGTTCGAAAAGTTGACGAAAGCTGGAACAAATCTAGATAGAGAGCTGAAAGTTATGATGGTCCTGCGCAGTATCCCAAAGTCCTTCAGTACCCTGACGACGGCTTTGGATTGCCGGAAGGAGGAGGAAATCACGCAGGAATTGGTGAATCAAAAAGTGATGGATGAAGTGTTGAAGCGTAGAGGAGACGAAAAAAGTGAGAAAGCGCTGCCAGAGAGTTGGACACAAGAAGAAAGATTGTCGAGTGAAACCGAAACCAGACGAAGATGTTCGGGACGATTCGAGGTCAGCCAGGAATGCACAGGCCAAAGTGGCAGCACACGCGGAAGAAGAAGAAGCTTTCGCGTTCGCGATCGGTGACTCGACTAGTGAATGGACAATCGATTCTGGTTCGTCGTGGCACATTTGTGCAAATCGTGACATTTTCGAAACCGTGAAGAAAAGAAGATTGGAAACACCCAGTGTTGTGGTGGTTGCTGACGGCCGCAAGTGTCCGGTGGAAGGCGAAGGAACGTGCCGGATCTCTTGCCTCGTTGAGGGCCAAGGTACAAAGCAAGTGTTGCTGACTCAGGTGCTTTACGTTCCAGAGATGAAGGCCAATTTGATATCCGTTGGTTGCTTGATCAGGAAGGGAGCTGAGGTAAGTTTTTCTGGTTCTGGTTGTACTATCGCTCGCGAAGGGCGAACAGCAGGCGAGGCTGTGCTTGTCGATTGCTTGTATTTACTAAGACTAGTGAGCAAACCAACAGCGGCGGTAGCGAAGAGCCATAACCCGTTGTGCATCCATGAATGGCACCGAAGACTGGGACACCGTGACCCAGAGGCCATACTGGAAATGGAGAGAAGTGGATTAGCGAACGGTATCCGTTCCAACCTTGCGGTATCCGTGCGGTGTGTTAGTGTTGCTTGAAGGGGAAGATGGCGAGGCTTCCGTTTCCGAAACAGGCAGAGCAAAAGTCGACCGCAGTGCTTGATATCATCCACAGCGACGTGTGTGGGCCTATGAATACTCCAACACCGGGAGGGTGCCGTTATTTCGTTTCAGCTGGATCTGTTTTCCTTCGCAAAAAGTCTGAGACGGAAGATTGCTTCAAACGCTTCGTGTGGATGGCCAAAACGCAGTTCGGAAGGCCACCGAAGGTGCTTCGCTCGGATCAAGGCCAATTCGTTGCAAGCGTTCTGTGCACAAGAGGGAATATTCCAGCAGTTCACTACGGCGTATACACCACAACAGAACGGTGTATCGGAGCGCAAAACTCGGGCGCTTCGGAAAAACTCACCAAGCTGGAACCAAAGGCCGTACGGATGACATTCATCGGGTATTCTTCGCAGCATAAGGGGTACCGAATGATTGATTTGAAAACGGAAAGCAGGGATGTAAGATTTCTGAAGCAGGAGCAGTTGGAGATTTTCCGTCCGACAAATCAGGCTTCGGAGGAATCAGGTAGTGTCGTTGAGTTCCCACTAACGGTGCAGAATGAAGTTGGCCCTGAAATTGATGATGAAAATGGAAATGTATTGAGTGAATATGAGGATGCAGATGAAGAAGATTTCGATGGGTTTGAAGCAAGTTCATTTTACCGTGGAGACGAGGAACAGGAACGAGGAACATCGCTGAAAATCTGCTATTTATCAATTTTATCTAGATGAACGCGTCATCAGGACAGTACTTATGGATATTTTTGGTCTCTATTGAAAATTTAGTCGATTACTGAGTTTATCTATGGGCCCAAATTAGGGAACATTTAGGCCGACATTACACCCATTTCCCCTATCTAAAGGCCCAAGCACAATGACAGCGGAAGCGGAACGGCAGCGGCAGCGGAAAAGCCCGATCTGAGTAAGCCAACTTGTTGGATTGAAAACTAGTTAGAACCAAACCGACTTGGCTCACTACTTGACTAGCCTATTGGTCCCAAGCAAATTGATTAACGTACCCCATTCTAGTCGAAATTCTAGTACTACACAATGTTTGTTTTGATTCGTTATGAAAGTTTGACAGATAAAATGAGGGGTTAGTGGATTTTCCTATGTTTCGAGGGGTGAATCGATTAGCTTGGGACCGAAGATAGTACCAGAGCTGAGCCAAAAAGTTGAACACGTTTCTTCGGGACCTACTAGTCTTAGAGTTACCTCTATGGTTGCATTCAATGTAGTTTTCAAATTAATTGAATAATAATTAGGTGTAAAAGCACTATGTAAATTTCTCTAATGTATTTTTTCTTGACCTGATCAGAGGTTTTACCAGCAGGGTATCGTAGACTAAATTAGTACGGTGGACAATTCGATTAGGCAGATCATCAAGAATACTGCTGCTGCACTCGGTTTGGCCCTGTTCCGTTTCCCGTATGCCACAGTGCGATGAAGATTTGATCCACGTAGAGTATATCAAATATTACACGCTGGGGAGGCACATCGGGAAGGGCGCGTACGGGTATGTGAAACTGAGCTACCGGAACTCGGATAGGTTGCTGGTGATATCGAAGTTTCTTACTGAAGGAGAAGCTCTTGCCGCAGTTTACGATTAAGACCGAGGAGAAGCGTAAGCGGCGGTGTTACCATAGAGGTAACTCTAAGATTAGAAGGTCCCGAAATAACGTGCTCAACTTTTTGGCTCAGCTCTGGTACTCTCTTCGGTCCCAAGCTAATCGATTCACCCCTCGAAACATATGACATACTTTCATAGCGAATCAAAACAAACATTGCGTAGTACTAGAATTTCGACTACAATGGGATACGTTAATCGTTTGCTTGGGACCAATAGGCTAGTCAAGTAGTGAGCCAATTTAAAATCGTTAGTTTCGTATTGATTGTTGGTGTTACTGCTGCTGATGACCGGGGAATGCAACGACCGGAAGGGACACGTCAGCACGATCCGTATAGTAGCAGCAGTTGCGTTGGTGGCGCCGCCAGTCCATACAATTCGCCGAGCAATAGTAACCGTCAGAGGCGACAGCAGCAACAACAGCGACGAAAGCGTGCTTGGGAAATGAACCACCCGGTCGTCGTCGACGTCATGATGTCGGCTTCTTCCGTTGCTCCGGTTGCGGACCATGGCAGTAAAGGTGAGTTGGAGGCTCCGGCGAAATTATCTCTTGCTAAAAACTGTTTGTGTCAACCAGGGCTGGAAAGCACCTCAGAGCGTTAGCAAAGCAACTTTGTACGTGCATCTCACAATACTCGACAAAGAGTGTGTGGTTCTCCCATTTACTTCGCCCACTCTTTTCCAACTAATCATACCAACAATCAATACGAAACTAACGATTTTAAATTGGCTCACTACTTGACGAATCTATTGGTCCCAAGCAAATCGATTAACATACCCCATTTTTCGAAATTCTAGTACTACACAATGTTTGTTTTATTGTTTATTGTTGTTTATTGTTTATTGAAAAATTCAACTGACAAATACTGTCTAAATGAATAAAACTTAAACTAAATAGTTACGGTCAACGGTACGGAAAAGGCCAAGTAGCCGATGACGAAACACGTCAGCTGATACATTGAAGTCGAACATATAAAAAAAGTTGTTGAATTGCCGGCTGATTGCTCGAATTGGCTCGTGTTGTGTATAATTCCGGCTCCGTGGTTCCAAAAACAGAAAGTCGCGTTGACGAAGAGACCTCTCAGGGGCATACATATTTAGCTGTGACAGCATTGTTGGACAGTCAATGTCACCCGTAAGCAGCTTTCCAGCGAACATAGCTTGAGCGACCGTCCGTCTCACCTCTAATGGCTCGATTCCCAGGAGACGGCAACGCTCCTCGTACGGTGGCAAGTTCGTTGGGTCACGCCAGTTGAGGAAACGAAGAGCATATCTCACAAACTTGCGTTGAACGGATTCAATTCTAGTGATCCAGCTAGCATGGAAAGGGCACCAAACAACTGAACTTGACTCCAATAAGGATCGCACAAGCGAGCAGTAAAGTGACCTGAGACATAGCGGGTCACGAAACTCGTCGGCAATTTTGAAAATAAAGCCCAATTGTCGATTAGCTCTGCAGATGATGTCATTGTAGTGGATTCTGAAAGTGAGTCTGCAGTCCAAGGTAACGCCGAGATCCTTTATGTGCTCTACACGAGCAAGACAGCGTCCGTAGAGAGAACATAGTCAAACATGATTGGTTCAATTTTTCGGTGATATGAAATAATGTTACATTTTTCTATGCTTAGACTCATCAAATTTCTTGAGCACCAGTCAGCAAAAACACCTAACATATTCTGGAGATCCCAGCAGTCCGAGAGGCTTTTAATAATTTTGTAGATTTTCGTATCGTCTGCATAGAAAACGCGGCATCCTAATGGTATCAGCAAGGCGACATCGTTTAAAAAGATCGAAAATAGTAGCGGTCCTAGGTTACTGCCTTGCGGGACTCCCGAGTTGTTTGAGAAAACATCCGATTCCGACGCGCCAATCTTGACATGTACATAGCGATTCACCAAGTAAGATCTGAACCAATCCACAGCAGTTGACGAGATGCCAAGTATCTCCAGCTTGGCCAGCAAGATATTATGGTCCACCGTGTCTTTGATTTGCTATGAAAGTTTGACAGATAAAAGTAGGGGTTCGTGGATTTTCTATGTTTCGAGGGGTGCATTGATTAGCTTGGGACCGAAGATAGTACCAGAGCTGAGCCAAAAAGTTGAGCACGTTTCTTCGCGACCTTCTGGTCTTAGAGTTACCTCTATGGTAGTACCAACAATCAATACGAAACTAACGATTTTAAATTGGCTCACCACTTTAGTAGCCTATTGGTCCCAAGCAAACGATTAACCACAGACAAACAGACATAACACATTGAAAATTTTTCAATATAAAACATCGTCACTAAAACACTACCGCCATCTGTTGAGTATAATGTGATGGGTAGTACGCTGAACAGATGGCATTAGTGTGTAAACGTCAAACGCAAGGGTTATTGACTAAGCGCGCCACAGGTGGCGGTACTACCAACTAAAAACATTTAAATTGGCCGTTAAATGCGTGTTCGATGAACAAATTGCCAGTGTTATGTCTGTTTGTCTGTGGATTAACGTACCCTATTCTAGTTGAAATTCTATTACTACACTATGTTTGTTTTGATTCGCTATGAAAGTTTGACAGATAACATCAGGGGTGTGTGGATTCATGCAGAACATGCAGGGGTGAGTGAAATAGCTTGGGACTGCTTGGGACCGTTGTTCTGGTACTGAGTGAGCCAAAAATAATAATGATTTTCTTCGGGACCCAGTGGTCTTAGAGTTACCTCTATGGTAGTACTGTATCAGGGAGGCAACTTCAAAATCATCTTCCTTTGTAGTGCTTTTTTCCTGGTAGTGCAACAACTAGACCATATTAGCTCAGCGTAAAGCATGGCCGGTCTAAAAACTTGTTTAAATATTAGAAGTTTATTCTTCAGGCAAAGTTTGGATTTCCTGTTTGTAAGATTTATTACATTTGGCTTAAAAGCCCTCAATGTGATCTTTAAAAGTTAATTTTTGGTCAAGTTCTAATCCAAGATATTTCACTTGACTTGACCAAGAAATTGAAACTCTGTTCATAGTGACTATGTGACTGCTACTAGGTTTAAAAAAGGAAGCTCTACACACAAAAAACGAAAATTGTGTATTTAAAAATTATTCGTTTTCAAATTGAAAGTTTCCCTTATTTCGTAGTTTTAACCATGAAAATATTCAAAATGAAAGCAATGTAATTGGTTTGAAAGTGTTTCTTTCATTATCGACTCGTAGTTTTAAAAGCGCCTATTTTCAAAACCAAATTGTTTTACTGTCAAAAATACCTCTTGGCAGCAAATCTAAAACCATCCTAAAAAAAGCCAACAGGGCATATAGTGTTATCTACACGCCCAAATTTTTGAGTTTTCAAAGTGAGCAGAAAAAAGAAGATGGAATACAATGCAACGGAAGCCCCCGCCCTCAGCCAGATCCTTGACAGGAACCTTGACGGGATTCGATTCCAGTATCTCTCCTTGAGTTAATATGAAAAAAAAAACTAATTTGACAAAGAATGAAAGTTGCAAGATTGTTTCCGTTGGTGACTTCATAAAAGGTAAGATTGATAATAGTGTAAAATAACTAAATAATCGATTACTTTTCAGGTCACCTATAGTGTTTGTCTCGGTTCAAAGACACTGTTGGGATCAATACCAACACGGCGAAGATCATTCCAAAAATGAAACCGGGATTGAACCGGTACCTATCGTTTAATTCATCGTTGTAACCCAAGTGGCAGGAAATCATCGAAATTTTCGCTGGTATCGGACACTAACGTAGCCCCATCAACAGCCTTTCCATCTCCAACGAGGTACTGACCTGGTTCAGGATTACGATATAGACTTTTACCTGTTTTTCCCTCGGTTTTTCCAAGATTATCTGGTCACCGGTCAAAAGATGTGATTGGAGGAAATCAAATTTCACTATCGTAGCGTGAAGAACGACGATAAATGTCTCTCCCAGCTGGAACCGCATCACATACAGGGATTGGATATCCACCGGTGGAGGAGTTATTGGTCAAAAGGTCCATCGAGAAGATAAAGAAACGGGTAGCTTCATAGTTGCAGAGGAACGACTAGACCGCATCAGACGGGATATGATGGATGAGGTGATGGTGTTCAGGACCAGGATTTTCAATTGAGACAGATATTTTTGTGGATCGCGCGTAAACGGTTGTTGTATTATTGTTCAAAATATATAATAAATATAGTTTTGACCCTTTATATATTATAATACATTTTTTTTTTATTTAATATTCAATAAAATTTAAAGTAAAAATACTTGTTTTTAAATTGAAAATATTCGATTCTTCAATTCAAAATGACACATATTATGTCAACTGTACAACACTTTCATTTCAAGAGTTTGATTTGAATTCGCTTTTAATTTCAACACTGCCATGCTTTTCGTTTGACAGTAGTACAATTCATTTTAAAAGTTTTAACTTTTAAAAGTTGTGGCTGCGAAACTTTTGACTTGACAGTTGGCTGACTTTTATTTTGAAAGCAAAACGCTTTCTACCAAAAAGAACCAACGCACACTTTTAATTCTACCAATGGTTTTTTTTTTAATTTTAGCAACGATTTCTCTTTGTGTGTAGGCTTATGTGGAAATATTATAAGTTGAGTTTTGGAAGCGTTGGGAGAAATCTTCCATTTTTGTTAAAAAGACGAGACCATATCTAAAACTTCTCTGCAGTCTGCTGCAAATAATACGAAGACTTCTTCCTTTAACGGAAATGCCTGTGTCATCAGCGAACAAAGATTTGTGGCAACCCTGAGGTAAATCAGGGAGGTCCGAAGGGAAAATGTTATGTAATATAGGTCCAAGAATGCTACCCTGAGGAACTCCAGTTCTAACAGGTAGTCGATCAGATTTGAAAATATACATGCAGAGTTCTGTCAGTTAAATGAACTAATTGCATACTATAGAGTGGAAAATTTAACTTTTTCAATTTAGCAATCAAATCTTCATGTCAAACACTGTCGAATGCTTTTTCTATGTCTAAAAGAGCAACTCCAGTTGAGCAGCCTTCAGATTGTTTGAACGAATTAGATTGGTAATTCTTAACAGTTGATGAGTACTCGTTGAATGCCCATGGCGACATTTAAACTACTCATCTGCAAAAATTGAGTTCGTATTGATGAGAAGCATCATTCTATTTAAAATTATCTTTTCAAAAAAAAATACTTATTGAAGAAAGCAATCTTATTGGACGATGGCCTTCATAAGACCTCCTTCTGTCCCGCAAAACAAAACAAAAATCAAATATCCATTGGTACCTCTTTACTTTAGGAAACATGCCCAAACGGGGTTCCCAAACCCTATCCATTATCTTTAGTGAAGGTTTGCTTTATATCTTGTTTGTTTTGTATACAACCAAACGGTCAGACTTTGATGTGTATTTTAGGAGTTTGCAGTGGTCTTTACGTATACCTTTACACCTACTATTTTCGTCCAAATCGCATTTACCACCATCACTTGTATATATGACGATCAGACAGAACAGCGCCGCGACGCATTCACATCTCTGAGCGGTGTGTGTTGGTGTAGTGTTATATTTTAAGCACCCATTCAGATCTTCACCAGCAGCTGTTCAGTATCGTGCGATTAGCTGCACTGCAATGTGTTTATACTCTGTTTTTTATTATTATTGTTAAATTGTGACTTTCATCGAACAGTTATCATGAGCTGATACGAAGAGGCTATGCTAGTGCTATACCTTATGTGATGGGCAATGGAAGTGATTACATTTAGGATAGTTGTATCATCGGATTAGTGACCATTGTCTCCTAATTATGTAAATGTAGTTATCTGCTATATCCATATCGAGACTTAATTGAAGTGTATAAGAATAGATCGGCGGAAAGTGCAGTTGTGGGTGAGCCACGTAGGGAATATAATCGAATCTCTTCTGTGGGAAACTTTGATCATGACCTGGGATTGTTGGCAAAGGGGTAAACGCGGTATGACTGTGTCGGTTTTCTTCTTTGGAAGTATCTGCCTGTCGGTGATGCTCGCCTATTTGGTTTTTGGTGATAGCACCGATGATGAAGGTTTCCGTACCTTACGAATGGTACAGATCATGTTTCGCCATGGAGACCGCTCGCCGACGGAGTTCTACCCCAATGATCCACATCGTAATCATCCGTGGACCGGCGGATTGGGTGCATTGTCGGAGGTTAGTTATCAAGATTAACCGATATTCATTAAAGTCTTATGTAAACCAATTTACAGAAAGGTTCCCAGCAAATGTACAATTTAGGAAAAAATCTTCGTCCTCGCTACTATCGCCTACTACCACCGAATGGACTCTACTCCAAGGATAGCATGTACGTCGTCAGCAGCTACGCAGAACGTTGCATAATGAGTGCTCAAAGCTTCATGGCTGGATTTTTACCACCATTGGAGAATACGAATCCGTTGCCCATCCCATGGCAACCAGCTGCGATCAACACGATTCCTAGGGATAGAGATACGGTAAGTTGACCAAAACTATCAGTGTTCCTCTATTTTAATCATCCGATTTCTTCCAATCACAGATAATGGCACAGAAGAAGCCATGTCCACGATACGAGCAATCTCTTCAGCGCCTGATGGCATATCCACCAAAAGACATTCGTGATTTGAATGACAAAAATGCCGCTCTGTATAGAACATTGACACAATCCACTGGTCAGAACATAAGCACCATCTTGGACGTAGAATTGCTTTACAACACTCTGGAAATCGAGAAGAATGCTGGGCTCGAACTTCCCGACTGGACCGAAAACATCTTTCCGGACAAAATGCTTCCTCTAGCAGAGCGCAGTTTGGCCCTCTTCACGGAGACGGCCTTGATGAAGAAGATTAAAGGTGGTGCCATCGTCAGCGAATTGCTGGACAACATGATCCGCAAACGATCGGGAATTCTCATGCCGGAACGGTCTATCTTCATCTACTCGGCACACGATGTCACGTTGGTCAATTTGATGCGAGCGCTGAACGTGATTGACAAGACGACAGGAAAACCGGACTTCTCGGCTACGATCGTTTTCGAGTTGCACCATAGCATCACGTTTGACGATGATTTCGAAGTGAAGATTGTATACTTTTACAACAGTGACGACAAATACCCGAAGGAGGTCGACATACCGAAATGCGGGGATCCGTGCTCGCTCACCAAATTCAGTTATCTAATGGAATCGGTCCGCCTGAAGAGCTACGACGAAATGTGCATGATAGTTTGAGTGAAAGCTAGCTTTAATTCAGGTGGTATCTTATTGTTACCAATAATAAGTCTAGGTTATCCCTTGTCCTTGATTAGACAATAGAGCAAATGATTGGTCGCAGTGGTTTTATGTCCCGAACTGAGGAAACAAAAAAGTCTAGTTATTCTAATTATTGATGATCTGATGTTTAGGTAGATCCTAAGCGTTTTAATTTTCTCCACTGAAAGTTGTTTGTTAGAGTTTTTCGAACAAAGATATTTTAAACTGTTTTTCATCACTTATTTTTTTGTCTTCGAAATAGACCAGCAATTTTACCGTGACTTTCTACCAGCGATTTCCCAAAATTGGACCAACAAATTACTATTTTACTATAAAACACACTACTTTTGGCTACTTTTCTCGTGGTTCTGGAAGAAAAACCTTCAAAATATTGTGTTATTTCGAAAATCGAGTGGTAGGAAACATTTTCAACTGTTCGAATTAAATCGGTAGTTCTTCCTCCTAAAAGCTAATCGCGAAGCGAGGGTGATGGGATGCAAACCACTTAAGCGGAAATACACCCAACGATGCGGAAATCTCGGAAATACGCAACGTCACTTCCATCGTTGGGCTTATCACGGGTGTCACTACACGATGATAAGGAAGTGATACTCAGAATAACCGGCGTGATTGCCGTACAAATCAAATGGGAATCACTTCACCGTGACGACAAGTGACAAGTTTTCACCGTGAAGTGACATTCGTAATAAGCCCCGTTAGCATTTTTCTGAAAAACCGGCATGGTGAGTCGCGAAAAGATTCATCCGCCGTTCAGAAACATGAATAAGTATGCCCATGTTACGTCAAGCATTCAAGAGTTCCTTACATGCTATTTTGAATCTACCCAGTAACTGGGTAGATGGCACCTAAAGAGACTGAATTGGTTATAGAGGCGACATCTTATCCATTTGACAGGTCTTCTGCTCGATTAGAATAACTTTTCCTATGAGTTTGACAGATAATAGATTGTTCCAATTTTGACATGTCGTAATTGTAATTTGTAATGTATCAGCCCTCACCCTGGTGGCCACTGCCAACCCATCGTATTAGGTGAGGAATAAAGAGCCTGAATTTATAAAGAGACGACATCTTATCCATTTGACAGGTCTTCTGCTCGATTGGAATGACTTATCTTATGACTTTGACAGACAATCGATTGTTCCAATTTTGACATGTCGCCTCTTTATAAATTTAGGCTCTTTAGTGAGGACCTACCAAGCCTAAGCGTTAAAACATGCCAGACCGTATAGCATGCCACAATCGTGACTAGCCGGCGCAAAATGTCCAAACTAGTACACCGATACATTAAATAGGGATAGAAAGAGATAAAGAGGGAAAGAGTAAGAGATATCAATCTGCTGAAAGAAAAGAACATAAAGAAGGAAAATATTAGTTGCCACCTACACACTTAGATTTGTTTGCCGAGATCAGGGCTGGTAGCGCTGATGCGATATAAAAGTAGTGACTTTAGTGACTAAAATTACGGAAATAGTTACCAACTAGTGACTTGTAAATACTAAATAAGTAACCATTTATATGGTAACATAGAAATTAAAATACGGTTTGATATTGGAATAAACTTTTTATGTCATATGGAACTCAATATCAAATTTCATAAATTCCTCTAATTTAATCGAATCTCACAACGGAAACTCCTGTGAAGAGCATTTGACGTGATTTGAATAATTTACTTTTGCTTACGTTATACATGATGACTAGCAAATAGTAATTCCCATTTTTATGATCTTGAATTTGATTCTGCGTTCAGAAATCTCTAAATATTTGATATACCTAGGTAGATAACTTTGATAATTTGCTATGAAATTTTCACAGAATTTTTTCAGAATGATCTCAAGAACTTTTTAAGAATAATTCCCCTTCTCTTAAACTTAGAAGCAAAAAAGCTTTCACAAACATAATATTGTATTCTTGAAATTCTTTGCAGAACAATCAACAAAATTCTTGGAAATAGATCATTTTCGTAGTTGGAAACGCTTAACATCAAATATCAGAACTAAAGTGGACATTTTATACGATAGATGAGTTTCATAAATTTCTGCTTAGAATAATCTTGGACTTCTCCATTGCATTCAATTCGTATTCTCCTTAGAATCCCCATAGTATTTCCTCAGAATTCTCAAAACAAAAATCTATCACAAACTTTGAAACTCTTCTCAGAATTCCTTCCTCAAAATTCGATTCCATTTGAATTCTTCTCGGAATTTATTGCGAACTCTTTGGAATTCTCTTGAAAGTATCGTCAGAAATCACCCCAGAATTCTTTTAGAACTATCCGCAGAGACCATCTTTGAAGTTCACGGGATTTTCATGGAATTTTCATCAGAGCCATTTGAATTCTTATTATAATTAGACCTAGAATCCTCATCCAATCATCATAGAATTCTTCTCAGAACGCTCGTTAAAATGCACTCTCAATTACATTAGAATTATTTCCAAAATGGTTTCGGTGCTGAATTTTGAGTCTCTATTCATTTAAACAGTAATCAAAAGCGACGCTCATATGTGTTAAGCCAAGTTTTACTATATAGGTAAACCTGGCTTAAGATTTAAGCGGATATGAAGAAATCGGTCCTCAGAACAGTTAATTTTACATGAGACTATCGTAGTCTGTACTTTGGTATTCTTCTCTGATATATCTTGGTGTCTGCCCTAGAATCATTTAAAATTCTCTTTTAAATCGAAATTGAAGACATTTCCCACTAGTTTTCCTGGTGTTCTAACGTTTTGCGGTTCACTGGTCACCCTGGTTAAAATTTTCAATGTTTTAACAGATATGTATATTTTGTTAAAACTACTGTAGACTTTCTTAGTGCCAAGTACTCAATTTAAACATTTTGTGAAAAAGTGACTTTAGTGACTATTTTTAGGGAAATAGTGACTTTTAGGTGTAAAAAGTAACTTTTTAGTGACTGGCTTCAAAATCAAAGTGACCTGCTACCAGCCCTGCGAGATGGACACCACCGAGCAGCTCGGCAATCTATTTTGCTGGATCTCAGTGAAAAAAAATTGCCGAGATTCAGTTAACAAAGGGGAATTTTGCCGAGACCTCGGCTAATAAACATAAATTTTGTTGAGATCTCAGTAAAAATAAATGCCGAAGCTGCTCGGTGGGCAAAAAAATCTAAGTGTGTAGGTCCATCGCTATGGCTGATCCATACGGTATACCGATACCTGGCACTAAACATTGACCGTTCCATAATTGGTTGAACCGTACGGTATATTAATACCTGAAATTATACAAAAACAAATGACATATTAGCACCGCAGCCGAGTGAATCTCATCCGGACCATTTACCGACAAAATATATCGAACAACCGCAGCATCCGTCTTCACGTGGCGAGTGCAATTATCGACAGTCGCCTTCTATACGGTTTGGAGATGACCTGCATCCAACCGGATAAGCTTTTAGCTACGTTAGCACCAGTCTACAACACCCACGTCCGGATTGTCTCTGGCCTGCTGCCATCCACGCCCGCTTATGCTGCATGCATCGACGCAGGCATTCTGCCTTTCCGCTTCCGTATAACCGCAGCTATCGCAACCAAAGCCGCTGCTTTCATCTCGAAGACATCCGGAAATCAAGGGATCTTCCTCCTCGACGAGGGGAACAGACTCCTCCGCACGGCTGCCAACGAAGATCTCCCCCCCAGTGGCCAGGGTCCACTGGCATGGAGACAAATGCTGGCAAACACCATTACCGAAAATCGAAAGCCGGATTAAGGACAGGTTCAAAGCCGGAGACAATTCCGTGGCCATGAAAAGGACTGTAGCTGAAAAGTTAGGAAAAAAATACCCCACGCACACTCACCGATACACGTGCGGATCTCGCTCTCGGGCCGGGGTCGGTATCGGTCTAGCCGGAAACATCACATCAACCAGCTGCAGCTTACCGCCGCAATGTTCTGTCTTCTCTGCTGAAGCTGCTGCCATCTTCATCGCTGCTACAACGCTCTCCAGCCAACCGATCCTGGTCCTCACGGATTCGCACAACCCTGACATCCGAGGCCCCGACTCATCCCTAGGTACAGGTGACAATGAAGTCCGCGCCACCAAACACGGTATTATGCTGGGTTCCGGGGCACTGCGGAATACCAGGCAACTCTGAAGCTGACTTTCTGGCTGGGGCAGGACCTTCTGCCCCTCGCTATACTAACGAAGTACCGTTACACGATGTCAAGTGCTGGATCGTGACCAAAGTACGGGAAGCTTGGGACGCAGAGTGGGCTCAAAACCGCTACCTCTTCATCAGACGGATCAAAGGGACGAAGAGGAAATGGACAGAACAGTTGAACCAGTGGGATCAGAAGATAGCGTCGTTGAGAACCGGTCACACCAAGATCTCGCACAATTTTGGTAGAACGCTGTTCCACAGGACTTGCGTCGGTTGTAGAACTCCAGCCACAATCGAGCACATTCTATGCGTATGCCCTCAGTATCAGAACCTGCGGGAATTCCATGGGCTTCCAAATAGCATACGCGACATGCTGGGTGATGATCCCGCAACACTGCATTGTGTTTTAAAATTTAGTCTTTTTTAATTCCTTTCGGCTGTTGGGACATCTCTGCCTGGTGGGGACCCTCCCGGTTCCCCCGTTGTGGAGCTCTGTCTTATTCAGATTTTAATTTTGTGTCTTTAATATGTTACGATCGAGCCAGGTACCAATTTTCGGTTGAAGTAAACACTGTAAAAACTACTCTGTTGGGGGTCCTCCTTCTGAGGCCCCACCTTTCATGGACCAGATGAACTAGCCATAGAGGACATATTTCAGGTTTAGAAATTGGCGATATACCATTCTATATGCGGAAGCTCAGCACTTGTTTATGCCAGTGCTTTTTAAGAGACCCAAAGAAACTAACGTCAAGTGGTTGAGTCAGAAGCATCGAGTTTGGGAAAAGTGCCACTAGGATTATTTGATGGTCTTTACAAAATTCAGCGTTCATCAGAGTAGTGTGACTTTTATGACCATCTACGAATAAGATGACCGGAAGGGGTTTTTTTTTTCTTTCATGAGCCACGGCTGAAAAATGTTTTTAAGATAAATGCAACTTGTCATCCACCCGTCCGCTCGTGGTTTTTGCAATCCCCCCAATCTGGTGGAGCAGTTTTAACAATGTCTCCAGGGAGCCGGCTTGTGTAGGGAAATAACACCAGTGGGGGAGAGTAGGCGGCAGTCGGCGCTAGCAGATCCGGTTGGGTT